TTACCCATATTTTTACTGACCAATCGGCACTATGTTGGTAATGTGGCCACCATTACGCCGGCCGTCTTTATTTCCCCAGGACATACATCATGGTACCCAGTTTAGACTGGGTCGACCTTCGACGCCCCATACCATGATAAAAATCCACGCAGCAATCAGTGGGTTTCGATCGCGGTACGTTGGATTCGCAATGCCTTACCACGGACTTCGCTACGAATATTCTAATACTAGTGTAAATGTTGTTATTAATATTATTTCTATTATTTGTATTATTATTATTTCTACTTTTGTTTGTTATATTGATCTTTATTATCCCAGATAGTGATTGAAACCATTGCACGGCTTAGCTGAAGTAAGTTTACTTATAAAGAGTGCGAGATTGTTTCTCTGAAGGCCCCACACTTGTGGTCGGGGGAGCTAAGGTATCACGATGGCTAGAAGCGTACCTCTAGGCTTTCTCATGGATAAAGAAGTTAAGGAACAGTTCTCAGTTACGGTCTCTAATAAGTACCAGGTGTTGCAGCAGTTAGCTGAAGATGTCAGCACATAAGTCTGCTGGGATCAGATCAAAGGAATCTGGAATGAATCTGGCGTAGAAGTTCTTGGCAAGAAAGAAAGGAAACATAAAGCATGGATAACACCAGAAACCATTAAACTGATTGAAGATAGGAAAAGTAAAAAAGGCAGACTTAAACAATAGCAAAACTAGAGCTACTAAAGCTAGAGCTCAGGAGAAATACACAACAAGGAAGTTAAGAGGCATATAAGGGCAGATAAAGTGAAATATCTAAATGATCTAGCACCAGAAGCGGAGACAGCAGCAGCAAAATGAAACCTCAGAGAACTTTACAGTAACACAAGAAAATTAGTAGGTAAATATAGTCAATCAACTGGATCAATCAAAAATAGTCAAGGAAAGGTACTTACCAACACTAAAGATCAAATAGACAGATGGGTTGAATATTTTGAAATGCTTCTAAATAGACCAGGCCCAGAGGTTCCCCTAGATATCCAGCCTTTAGAAATGGAACTGAATATCAACTGTGAGATACCATCTAAAGAGGAAATTAGAAAAGCTATCAATCTTCTCAAGGAAGGAAAGGCGACAGGCCCAGATGGTATCCCAGCTGAAGCCATCAGGGCCAACATAAACACATCAACAGAATTGCTACATAGATTATTCAGTAAAGTCTGGGAGACCGAAGAAATACCAGCAGACTGGAGAGAAGGATATCTTGTGAAACTACCTAAAAAGGTGATCTACAGGAGTGTGCAAACTATAGAGGAATTATGTTGCTGTCAGTTCATTGAAAAATATTAAGTAGAATTATTTTGGAAAGATTAAAAGATGCTATCGATGAGCAGTCAGGTTTTCGGTCAAACAGATCCTGTACTGACCAGATAGCCACATAACGCATTATAACAGAGCAAAGCATTGAACTGAACTCACCACTTTACATTGGAATTATAGACTATGAAAAAAGCATTTGACAGATAGGGAATCTCTCTGGAAATTGATGCGGCACTATGGAATCCCACAGAAAATGATCAACTTAGTAAAGGCAACATATAAAGACATGAAATGTCGAGTTCTTCATGAGGAAAAGCTATCAGATGCATTTGAAATAAAAACAGGTGTGCGACAGGGATGTCTTTTGTCGCCTCTCTTATTTTTACTGGCTATAGACTGGACTATGAAAACAGTAACTGCTAACACCAAGAATGGAATTCAGTGGACCCCTACAAAACAGCTTGATGATCTGGACTTCGCTGATGATATTGCTCTTCTGTCCTATTCACGGAATCAGATGCAAGATACATTAAATATACTTGATGCGAGATCACAGCAGCTTGATCTGAAAATCCATAAAGGAAAGACAAAGATAATGAGAATAAATCAGGCAAATAGTAATGTCGTTTCTCTTAATGGCACCCCACTCCAGGACGTGGAGTCGTACACCTATTTGGGCAGTAATGTAGATAAAGATGGAGAAACTGATAGAGATATTAAAATGAGAATACAAAAGGCAAGAGGTGCTTTCATAGCACTAGGGAATTTGTGGAGGTTTAAAGAAATACTAAACTAAAAATTTTTAATTCTAATGTCAAATCAGTACTATTGTATAGGAAACATGGAGAACAACCAAGGCAATTACTAATAAATTAGACATTTATTAACTGGTTTAGAATAGAGTGAATTAAATGGTATGATAGAATAACTAATGTAGAACTTTGGGAGAGAACTAAACAGGCTCCAGTGGACCAAGAGGTGAGGAAAAGACGCTAGCGTTGGATAGGACACACGCTGAGAAAACCGGAGAACAGCATAACTAGAATGTCTTTGCATTGGAACCCACAGGGGCATAGGAATAAAGGAAGGCCAAAAAACACACGGAGAAGAGAGCTGGAGAACGAAGTTAGAAAGATGGGGAGGACATGGGGAGAGCTCCATGCAATGGCGAAGGATAGAACGACTTGGCGTGAGTTGGTTGAAGACCTATGCTCTATTGGGGGATATAAAGGCAGAAGAAAAAGAGGCGTGCCTGTCTGAAGGTTTTAGGTTGTTATCTTCGCCCTGGCGTGGTCTGTATAACCCCCTTTACTTCCCCCACAACCACCATTTATACTTCTCGTTTTCCTTTAAATTTACACACTTGGTATTTTTTCCAGTAACGTTTTTTGGTTTGCTGTTCGGACATTAGCATTATATTTGTTTTGATTTTGATTTTTTTTAAATATTATTAAACGCTAAAACAGGGCCTAGCCTTTTGACGCCTTTCCGTTGAAAAAATGTAAGTGGTTGAGCGCCGCTCCCCACCCCCCACCTTTTCAGTTCTCTTTAAGTCGATGCATTCCAAGTAGGCAGTGGAGGGTCAATCAATGGAAGCGACACTTTTTGCTATTAACAGAATGAGGTAGCAGTGTAGAGTGCCAAGAGAGAATTGAGTCAACTAGATCTGTGTTCATGGAGGGGGGGGGGGGGAAGGGGTGGGCAAGATGACTTACATTAACACATAGACATGATGGCACACATAAACACATGGACATGATGGCACACATAAACACATGAACATGATGGCACACATAAACACATAGTCATGATGGCACACATAAACACATAGACATGATGGCACACATAAACACATGGACATGATGGCACACATAAACACATGGACATGATGGCACACATAAACACATGAACATGATGGCACACATAAACACATGGACATGATGGAACACATAAACACATGGACATGACGGCACACATAAACACATAGACATGATGGCACACATAAACACATAGACATGATGGCACACATAAACACATGGACATGATGGCACACATAAACACATGGACATGATGGCACACATAAACACATAGTCATGATGGCACACATAAACACATAGACATTATGGCACACATAAACACATAGACATGATGGCACACATAAACACATGGACATGATGGCACACATAAACACATAGACATGATGGCACACATAAACACATGGACATGATGGCACACATAAACACATGGACATGAGGGCACACATAAACACATGGACATGATGGCACACATAAACACACGGACATTATGGCACACATAAACACATAGACATGATGGCACACATAAACACATAGACATGATGGCACATATAAGCAAACAGACAACGCTGTAGAAAGAGGAGAGAAAGCAAAAGAAAATCCGGAGCTGGTAAAAAGACGAAAAAAAATGTGTAACGGAAAGACTCAGAAGCCAAGAACCAAATCAAAGACATGGGTCCTTGTTCAGAAATGAGCAATTGGATATTTGTCTTGTTCACAGCCCAAACAGTAATGTACGCAATCACAGACACACACACACACACACACACACACACACACACACACACACACACACACACACAAACACAGACATATACACCACGCACACATGCACACCGAACCCCGCCATGGTATCACCCCCTCTCCTTAGAAAGCACACAAACACACACACACCCACCCACTGACACCCACACAAACACCCACACAACTCCGCCATGCTGCCCTTGCATTGCTCATGTGATCACGTGACACACAGACATTTTTATAACGGCGGGCAGTTAATTGTCATCTGGGAGCCTGGTCACCGGGACCAGAACTCTTGTGAGAAATCTCACTTTCTGTACACATCCCCACCTCACACAACCACCTACACCCACACACATACACACACACCCACCCACACCATAAACACACACACACACACGCACGTACACACTTCCTAGCATGGCTTGTATTAATTAACTTGAGAGAACGGCGGCGATTGCAGCTCCGCTATTTATGTCTCTCTATTTCTATTTCCGTCAATATCTTTGCCTTAGGTAGGCTTTGCAAACCTGGTTTGTAACTCCATGCAATCCTGTTTGATTCTAATAGCAGACAACAGACTGCTTTGCGTTGATGTCGAAAATGGTATCAAGAGCTGGCATTCAGTAAGCAGTAGCAAACGACTGTGCGTAAAACTACCTAAGTCAATCATAAACAGAAAAAAATATTGCTGGGCTGGTTCTACAACGTCCTGTGAGGGATACTAATTGGTGTAAGTGTAGGCAAAAAAAAATAAATTGATGAAATTATATATTAAAATCTACTTTTCTTTCAAAGATGTGTCACATCCCCCCCCCTCCCCCCCCCCCCCCCCCCCCCCACTTCCGATAACAAAAAACTGGAATGCATTGGGGGGGGGGGGGGGGTGGTTTGCTTATTTGAAGTAAATAAATATAACATGAGCCTTGCTGGATTGCCTTTTAAGAGTTATACAGCATGTAGGTCAAATGTAACAATATACACGTGTGTGTGTGACCTCAGTTGTGTTCCTTAAGTTCCTCACAGAACGATGTTTATAGTAGAAAGGACTGACTATATTGCACAGTGTTTTATCATTTAAAACTCGCTCTCTCTTCACGAAACAGCTTGCAGCCTGCCGAAGCCGTCACCCCCACCTTCCCCGCAATACGATGTATAGCCTCCGTTGTGTCTGTCACACCCACCCTTCCCCCCTCCCCCGCAATTCGATGTATAGCCCCAGTTGTCTATATCACCCCCCAGCCACCCCTCCCCCACAGTACAACGTATAGCCTCAGTTGTATCTATCACCCCCCCCCACACACACACACACACACACACACACACACAAACACACACACAGTACGATGTATATAGCTAAGGCTGTGTACTTTAGGTTCCCTTTTGTACTATGTGTAACCTCAGTTGCGTGGTTGTTGGTGTCTGATACTCCCTGGTTATTGTACAATGTGTGGTTGTTGGTGTCTGATACTCTCTGGTTATTGTACAATGTGTGGTTGTTGGTGTCTGATACTCCCTGGTTATTGTACAATGTGTGGTTGTTGGTGTCTGATACTCCCTGGTTATTGTACAATGTGTGGTTGTTGGTGTCTGATACTCTCTGGGTTTTGTACAATGTGTGGTTGTTGGTGTCTGATACTCGCTGGTTATTGTACAATGTGTGGTTGTTGGTGTCTGATACTTCCTGGTTATTGTACAATGTGTGGTTGTTGGTGTCTGATACTCTCTGGTTATTGTACAATGTGTGGTTGTTTGTGTCAGATACTCCCTGGTTATTGTACAATGTGTGGTTGTTGGTGTCTGATACTCTCTGGGTTTTGTACAATGTGTGGTTGTTGGTGTCTGATACTCCCTGGTTATTGTACAATGTGTGGTTGTTGGTGTCTGATACTCTCTGGTTATTGTACAATGTGTGGTTGTTGGTGTCTGATACTCCCTGGATATTGTACAGGGTGTGGTTGTTGGTGTCTGATACCCTCTGGTTATTGTACAGGGTGTGGTTGTTGGTGTCTGATACTTCCTGGTTATTGTACAATGTGTGGTTGTTGGTGTCTGATACTCTCTGGTTATTGTACAATGTGTGGTTTTTGGTGTCTGATACTCTCTGGTTATTGTACAATGTGTGGTTGTTGGTGTCTGATACTCTCTGGTTATTGTACAATGTGTGGTTAGTGATGTCTGATACTTCCTGGTTATTGTACAGTGTGTGGTTGTTGGTGTCTGATACTTCCTGGTTATTGTACAGTGTGTGGTTGTTGGTGTCTCATACTTCCTGGTTATTGTACAGTGTGTGGTTGTTGGTGTCTGATACTTCCTGGTTATTGTACAATGTGTGGTTGTTGGTGTCTGATACTCCCTGGTTATTGTACAATGTGTGGTTGTTGGTGTCTGATACTCTCTGGTTATTGTACAATGTGTGGTTGTTGGTGTCTGATACTCTCTGGTTATTGTACATTGTGTGGTTGTTGGTGTCTGATACTCTCTGGTTATAGTACAATGTGTGGTTTTTGGTGTCTGATACTCTCTGGTTATTGTACAATGTGTGGTTGTTGGTGTCTGATACTCTCTGGTTATTGTACAATGTGTGGTTGTTGGTGTCTGATACTCTCTGGTTATTGTACAATGTGTGGTTGTTGGTGTCTGATACTCTCTGGTTATTGTACAATGTGTGGTTGTCGGTGTCTGATACTCTCTGGTTATTTTACATTGTGTGGTTGTTGGTGTCTGATACTCTCTGGTTATTGTACAGGGTGTAGTTGTTGATGTCTGATTCTTCCTGGTTATTGTACAATGTGTGGTTGTTGGTGTCTGATACTCACTGGTTATTGTACAATGTGTGGTTGTTGGTGTCTGATACTCACTGGTTATTGTACAGTGTGTGGTTGTTGGTGTCTGATACTTCCTGGTTATTGTACAGTGTGTGGTTGTTGGTGTCTGATACTCTCTGATTATTGTACAATGTGTGGTTGTTGGTGTCTGATACTCTCTGGTTATTGTACAATGTGTGGTTGTTGGTGTCTGATACTCTCTGGTTATTGTACAGTGTGTGGTTGTTGGTGTCTGATACTCTCTGGTATTGTACAATCTGTTGTTGTTGGTGTCTGATACTTTCTGGTTATTGTACAATGTGTGGTTGTTGGTGTCTGATACTCTCTGGTTATTGTACAATGTGTGGTTTTTGTTGTCTGATACTCTCTGGTTATTGTACAATGTGTGGTTGTTGGTGTCTGATACTCTCTGGTTATTGTACAATGTGTGGTTAGTGGTGTCTGATACTTCCTAGTTATTGTACAGTGTGTGGTTGTTGGTGTCTGATACTCTCTGGTTATTGTACAGGGTGTGGTTGTTGGTGTCTGATACTCTCTGGTTATTGTACAGGGTGTGGTTGTTGGTGTCTGATACTCTCTGGTTATTGTACAATGTGTGGTTGTTGGTGTCTGATACTCCCTGGTTATTGTACAGTGTGTGGTTGATGGTGTCTGATACTCCCTGGTTATTGTACAGGGTGTGGTTGTTGGTGTCTGATACTCTCTGGTTATTGTACAATGTGTGGTTGTTGGTGTCTGATACTCCCTGGTTATTGTACAATGTGTGGTTGTTGGTGTCTGATACTCTCTGGTTATTGTACAATGTGTGGTTGTTGGTGTCTGATACTCTCTGGTTATTGTACAATGTGTGGTTGTTGATGTCTGATTCTTCCTGGTTATTGTACAATGTGTGGTTTTGGTGTCTGATACTCTCTGGTTATTGTACAATGTGTGGTTGTTGGTGTCTGATACTCTCTGGTTATTGTACAATGTGTGGTTGTTGGTGTCTGATACTCTCTGGTTATTGTACAATGTGTGGTTGTTGGTGTCTGATTCTTCCTGGTTATTGTACAATGTGTGGTTGTTGGTGTCTGATACTCTCTGGTTATTGTACAATGTGTGGTTGTTGGTGTCTGATACTCTCTGGTTATTGTACATTGTGTGGTTGTTGGTGTCTGATTCTTCCTGGTTATTGTACAATGTGTGGTTGTTGGTGTCTGATACTCTCTGGTTATTGTACAATGTGTGGTTGTTGATGTCTGATTCTTCCTGGTTTTTGTACAATGTGTGGTTGTTGGTGTCTGATACTCTCTGGTTATTGTACAATGTGTGGTTGTTGGTGTCTGATACTCTCTAGTTATTGTACAATGTGTGGTTGTTGGTGTCTGATACTCTCTGGTTATTGTACAATGTGTGGTTGTTGGTGTCTGACACTCCCTGGTTATTGTACAGTGTGTGGTTGTTGGTGTCTGATACTCCCTGGTTATTGTACATGGTGTGGTTGTTGGTGTCTGATACTCTCTGGTTATTGTACAATGTGTGGTTGTTGGTGTCTGATACTCCCTGGTTATTGTACATTGTGTGGTTGTTGGTGTCTGATACTCTCTGGTTATAGTACAATGTGTGGTTGTTGGTGTCTGATACTCTCTGGTTATAGTACAATGTGTGGTTGTTGGTGTCTGATACTCTCTGGTTATTGTACAGGGTGTGGTTGTTGGTGTCTGATACTCTCTGGTTATTGTACAATGTGTGGTTGTTGGTGTCTGATTCTTCCTGGTTATTGTATAATGTGTGGTTGTTGGTGTCTGATACTTCCTGGTTATTGTAAAATGTGTGGTTGTTGGTGTCTGATACTTCCTGGTTATTGTAAAATGTGTGGTTGTTTGTGTTCCACCTCAGACACTGAGCTATTAAAAGCTTCCGGGACGAGATATATTTGTTAATAGTTGCTTTTCTTTCACAGGACGTTGCAGAACCAACCCTTGCACTTTCTGCCTGTTGTGGTTTTTTAGGAAAATTTACGTCCAGTAGTTTGTCATTGGCCCTGGACGGTCAGCTCTCGGTACCACGGTCGAAACCATCACAAGAGCAAACCGTCGACAGCAGAAATCGAACCCAGCATTCCGGCATTACGAATCGCGTTCGCAACGCCTAAGCCACAGAGGCCGACGGACGAGACATTAGCGAGCAGAAATGTTGGGCTGGGCTGTTGTCTCGAATTTGATCAACACGTGACTGCTCCTCGAGACAGTCACTTTGTTGTCTGCCGAGAAGGCATCATCACAATTGCAGTTTTTTTTTTTTTGGGGGGGGGGGGTTAATACCGACTCTTACTGCTTTTTTCTGCTCCACCCCCTGTCTCCATGCACTCGAACGACAGGGAACAACCACCTGTACACACATAAGCCAGTAAATCGAATATACACGAAAAACTCAGGCCTGGGCACAAAGCTAAATGGACGAACAACCAGGACTTTCCCTCGGAGCTTACAGTCGGTGAACAAAGAAAAAAAGAAGAAGAAAATGATGAAGAAGAAGAAAGAAGAAGAAGAAAGAAGAAGAAGAAAGAAGAAGAAGAAGAAGAAGAAAGAAGAAGAAGAAGAAAAAGAAGAAGAAGAAGAAGATGATGATGATGAAGAAGAAGAAGAAGAAGAAGAAGAAGAAGAAGAAGAAGAAGAAGAAGAAGAAGAAGAAGAAGAAGAAGAAGAAGAAGAAGAAGAAGAAGAAGTAGAAAAAGTAGAAGTAGAAGAATAATTGGCACACACACACACACACACTCACACACACACACATAAATATATATTTACAAAGACGTGCTTCTCTTTCTGTATCGCAATTCCCCCCCCCCACCCCCACACACACACACACACATACATACACACACACAGTAGGCGCACATACAGCGTTTCGTGTATTCTTTGTTCCTCACTTCTTTATAGATATGTTTTCTTTCGTTTTACCACTCTCCCTTTCCTCCTTCTGCCTCCCTACCCTACCCTCTCACTCTGTCTCTCCCTATCTGTCTCCCTGTCTCGGAAACACCGCAGATAAGATATAAGAGACTAACAAGTCCCTGTCTACAACTGAAGATTGAAACAACAATCTCTCATTTTTCTGGCGCCCAGATTTGCCGTAGTCTTAAGTGTAACACAAATCTCTGACATTTTTCTGGCGCCCAAGTTTGCCAAAGTCGTAAACACAAACCAACAAAGCGGAATAAAGCAAGTGAGCTGTGAGAAAGAAAACCTCATCAAGATTCAGCCCCCTTCCCCTTACTACCCCCGCCCACAACCCAACCCAGGGCTTAAGGGAGCCGCCGATCAGCGTTTGATATGTTTTATTGATCTCCATAAAACCCGGCTCTGCCCCAGTGGAAACCCGCCATCAGTCTCTCATACAGGTCTTTAAGACCAACACTAACTGTGAGAACGGAGCCAGACAGAAATATTTGTTAGTATCTACTTAACTTTCTCACGTCACCGTCGTTTCAGCTAGCGGTCCCTCTGCTATACACCCTGTCCCGAGAGACTGACACCCAAAACTTTTATTCAGTGTTGTGCTGCCAATACTTAGAGTTTTAGCTCTCATGTCTGCCAAGCCTATAATGTGTGTCGGGATAATTACCAGGGATGTAAAGGCGACTGGCGTAATGTTGATACCCATATAATGCCGACTGGTCTATACAAAGGGCTAAACACCATATGCCACTGCCTCAGTGCTTGTGAACAAGTTTTTATTTTTTATTTTTGTATTTTCGGAGTCATTGTCATTCTATGGCAATGGGATAACGCTTGTTCACAACATGTCCAACCTAATGATCTATAAGTGTTGGCTCAAGAGAAATGTGATGAATAGAAACAACCTAACTTGGCGCATGTCCGGATATGTTCAACAATGGCGTCCAATGTTTGGGCAATCGTGGTGGGAGCGGAGTGTAATTGTGTTGCTTGTGGCGATAATTTGATTATTTCTGCTGTTGGCGTCGCTTTTGCTTGAGATCTTCTCTCTTGTCGCTGAACATCATGCCACCATTCAATCGTTTTCATGACAATAACAAAAGATTTACGTCATCTTTCAATACCCCTTTTTCGTTTATCCTTTCTGCTACTTTCATGTGTGTTTTCTGATCTGTGCTGACTCGTGGAAGTTAAGCGTGGCTTTCATCTCTTCTTGACCTGACAACCATGACAACCATTTGAGTGTTTGCATGTTTACGATTGTTATGTTGAACAAAGTTGTGACTTGCATCTCTTCTTTTCCTGACAACAATTTGAATGGTTGCATGTTTACGATTGTTATGTTGAACAAAGTTGTGACTTGCATCCACCATAAACATGGGTTTATTTCACACGTGCCTGTCACGCTATGGTGCTCACCCACTATCCGTGGACAGCCGAAAGCTGAAGCTCTTTTATGATGAAAACATTGTCCAATCTGATGCCCACAGAGCATGACCGTCTCCGACGCTTAGAAGATGAAGATTGTTCATATTAGTTCCACATAAAACTTTGACCCAGGGAAAACCTGGGGGTTGGGGTAGCTGCGAACTGCGTACTCAGGGGAGGGCCGGGAACACACCGAAAAAAAAAAACGGGACTGTTAAAAACAGGGAACATCGTTAGTTCAGGGGGGGGGGGGGGTGACGTCACGCGAAGGGGACGTCATCAGCCTGACAGCGCAACCAAGGGGAGATTATCGAGGACACGTTTGATATCTCGTGTAAATCATAAAGACCAAGGGGAGATTATCGAGGACAAGTTTGATATCTCGTGTAAATCATAGAGATAAAGGGGAGATTATCGAGGACAGGTTGATATCTCGTGTAAATCATAGAGACCAAGGGGAGATTATCGAGGACAAGTTTGATATCTCGTGTAAATCATAAAGACCAAGGGGAGATTATCGAGGACAAGTTTGATATCTCGTGTAAATCATAGAGACCAAGGGGAGATTATCGAGGACAAGTTTGATATCTTGTGTAAATCATAGAGACCAAGGGGAGATTATCGAGGACATGTTTGATATCTCGTGTAAATCATAAAGACCAAGGGGAGATTATCGAGGACACGTTTGATATCTCGTGTAAATCATAGAGACCAAGGGGAGATTATCAAGGACGTTTGATATTTCGTGTAAATCATAGAGATCAAGGGGAGGTTATCGAGGACAAGTTTGATATCTCGTGTAAATCATAGAGATCAAGTGCAGAGTATCAAGAGATATGTAGCCATGTCATTCTGCATATAAACTCCACCAGCACATCACACAAGCGATAAACATCAGGTGACAAAAAGTGCCACTATGCGGATGAGGATCAACCGTGGAGCGGTCCTATAAATCTCTTTCGGCCTTTAGGCCTTATCTATGGCTAGGCCATAGCCTCGGCGATATTCAGGGCCCCCTGCAAAAGCCTGAATGGGGCTTCAAATAACCAAAAAAAAATGGCATCCTACATGGGGATGACTTTCATTGTAACGACGAGAGATGGTAATTACATCTCTCTGCACTTTATATTTGTTCACAAGTTTTGCCTCACATTTACATTTGTATTCAGTATTCAGTCAGTCAGAGCTTTACGTCAACTCGCCACTGACTCGGTGACACTTTAGATTAGAAGAAGCAGTTGGGCTCCTCAGAAAGTCTAGAAGCTGCAGATTAACAGACAACTGCCAGTGTTGCCATATATTAAATACAACTTTTCATGCCAACAATGGTCGGGTGCAGTGTTCTTGTCATGCCAACAATACTCGGCTGCAGTGTTCTTGTCATGCCAACATAGTCGGGTGCAGTGTTCTTGTCATGCCAACATAGTCGGGTGCAGTGTTCTTGTCATGTCAACAGTGGTCGGGTGCAGTGTTCTTGTCATGTCAACAATGGTCGGGTGCAGTGTTCTTGTCATGTCAACAATGGTCGGGTGCAGTGTTCTTGTCATGCCAACAATGGTCGGGTGCAGTGTTCTTGTCATGTCAACAATGGTCGGGTGCAGTGTTCTTGTCATGCCAACAATGGTCGGGTGCAGTGTTCTTGTCATGCCAACAATGGTCAGGTGCAGTGTTCTTGTCATGCCAACAATGGTCGGGTGTAGTGTTCTTGTCATGACAACAATGGTCGGGTGCAGTGTTCTTGTCGTGCCAATAATGGTCGGGTGCAGTGTTCTTGTCATGCCAACATAGTCGGGTGCAGTGTTCTTGTCATGCCAACAATGGTCGGGTGCAGTGTTCTCGTCATGCACACAAATAATCAGTGATTGTCGGGAGAATGCAGCTGTGAATACTTTACCAGGTATCAGCTACTGAAAGATAGAGAACATAAAATAGGATGAATTTAAGAGGGGCAAAAAAAACCAGACAAATGTCGGGACAACCATTTCAATTAACGGTTATAAGACAGAGACCACGGCGAAATATTGGAAAGATTCTGAGAAGAAGCCAGCATAGAATCACAAGACAGTCACTGAAATGAGAAATAAATGGATTAAGGCGAGGTTTCATTCTAACAGGGCAATGGCTCGACTGGAAGGAGACAGGCATCAACCAGGTCAGATTTGTTCCTGTCCCGCCACGCGACCGGTCTAGCAAGCCGGCAGTGGTGTCTTTGACTGCTACTACTCAAGAAACATTGAATGATTATAGGACAGACCAAACCAAAATAAATCTGCAAAAGACCATGAGCCACAGATACTGGAATCTGAAGTTGAAAATACCCTTAAACAAAGTAAAAAGAACAAGGCAGCGGCTGTAGATGGTATTACAACAGAAATTCTCCTGGCATGTAAGAGCCAGACTCTTTAACCTTGGCTTGGGACGGAGGGACAGTTCCAAGTGACTGGCAGAGAGCAATCGTCCACATGAACAGAATTTACACCATATTGACTTCTGACATCAAACCTGCACAAAGTATGACATGACAAAAAAACACGGAGAAAACGGAGGTAATGAGGATAGACAGGAAACATATTATCATGAACGTTCATGTTAACGGTGCTACAATCAAACAAGTTGGAGAATTCAGATATTTAGGAAACATATTTACAGAGGATGGCAGACTCGATAGAGAGACAGAAGACAGAGTACAGAAGGAAAATGCTGTCATATAACTGCTTAGACACTCAAACGTCTCCCTTCTAGCAAAACAGCAAATGATTAATAGCATCTTTATTCATACTTTGTGTTATCAGTGCCAAACATGGACAATGAATATGGCACTAGAACAGACATAGCTACCTGTGAAATGCGCTATCTTCGCAAGGTCACTAACAAGACTAGACGAGACAGGGTTTCGAATACCAACATTAGAGAGCAAGTGTGAATAAGACCATGTCTAGATTATGTTAACAGGCAAAAAATGAAATGGTTCGGCCATCTAGTGAGAATGCAGCCAGGCCAGACTGCATGTGAAACTTTTTACAGCAGAACATCTGGGAGGAAGGCAAGAGAAAGACCATAAAAGAGATGGATATATGGTGTAGATGAAACCTGCAAAATGTTGAAAAAATCTTTAGAATTCTATTTAAATATTTTTTTCTTTTTTTGGGGGGGAAAAATCTCAAGTTTATTTGTAATTCCCGCTGTCATTTTCCAACATTCCCTGTTGTATTAATAGTATTCCTAAAATGTTGCTCTTGTATATTCTGAGTTTTGTGTCAACTAAATCCCTTTGACTTCCATATATTGTTAAGCATGTCAAATGCTTGATTTGCTTTGTCTGTTCTTGATGTTACGTACTTTTCAGAATCTCCATCTGGAGTAACTTTACTTTCAAGGTATATACATTTTTCAACTTCCTCTATTGATCACAACAACAAATTGTGACGGCCCTATTGATCACAACAACAAATTGTGACGGCCCTATTGATCACAACAACAGATTGTGACGGCCCTATTGATCACAACAACAGATTGTGACGGCCCTATTGATCACAACAACATATTGTGACGGCCCTATTGATCACAACAACAGATTGTGGCAGCCCTATTGATCACAACAACAGATTGTGACGGCCCTATTGATCACAACAACAGATTGTGACGGCATTATTGATCACAACAACAGATTGTGGCGGCCCTATTGATCACAACAACAGATTGTGGCGGCCCTATTGATCACAACAACAGATTGTGGTGGCCCTATTGATCACAACAACAGATTGTGACGGCCCTATTGATCACAACAACAGATTGTGGCGGCCCTATTGATCACAACAACAGATTGTGGCGGCCCTATTGATCACAACAACTGATTGTGGCGGCCCTATTGATCACAACAACTGACTGTGGCGGCCCTGGTTGTTCTGAAAAGATACATTGTTGGAGGCAGTGCTACGTGGTGTCTGGCTTTTTCCCGCGGCTTCACAAAGCGGTAACCCAGCAGGCAATAGGGCACCAGCGCAGCGATCAGCACGAGGTAAGCCAAGCAACAGCAAACAGCAGTCAGCTAAAACCCACATAAATTGAAGCCAGGAGAGCCGGACCAGACCGAACCCAGAACTCCAAGTGTCACACCGGAGTTAGGAAGACAAAGAACAGGACTATCAGGTATGACTTCACACCACAGAGAATAGGAAACACAATAAGATAGCCAAGGAACCTTCCTTCACAAAGCAGGTCTACGGGCGGCTGAAAAAGGATCAAGTTTGGAATTGTTATTGAACAATTGTAAATGGAATCTATTGCTAATCATTTAAGATATTTGGATTTTCTGTTTTTATTATTATTATTTCTCATTACTTTAGTTTTACTTATGTTTATTCTAAGTCCTATCTTAAGGGCTGATGTTGAAAGTCTTTCAATCTTTTCCTGAGTGTCCATATGACGGCTTGATATAAGGCTGATGTCATCTGCGTAATCCAAATCCTCTACACAGAAGTGAGTGACCACCTGATGCCTCTTTTTCTATCTCGTGAAACTTCCTTTATCAGCCAGTCAATGGCCAAATTGAACAAAAAGGGAAATAGTATGCATCTCTGTCTGATTCCTGTGTTGACAGAGAAACTTTCTGTAATTTGATTATCACAAACTACCTTGCATTGAAACTCTGAGTAAATAGCTTTGATCAAATTGACTATTTTCTGTGACCTAAAATAGTGATTCCCTATGCAGGCTTTCAAAGGCTTTTTCAAAATCCACAAAGGTCAAATACACTGCACTATTCCATTCGTTAGTTTGTTCACTTACTTGACGCAGCGTGAAGATGTGATCTGTACATAATTTCCACCGTCTGAATCCTTCTTGCTATTGCCTAATTATACCATCACGTGCTTGAGTTATTCTTTTAAACTCTTTACGGACGTTTAGCCAGTATACTGGCGCTTAAGTCTATCCCTTAAAGACGTAAAGCTAGTTTACTGGCTCATGATAGAGACACTCTAATTTTGTTCCGTTTGTAGGGTAAACTAACTTTTATGAACAAGTTTTTTAACAATTAGGATTAACAACAGAATGTACTTTCATTTGCGATGTTCATCGTGGTCGTTGCATTATTTTGTGATTTAAAAAAAAATTATTTAGATGGGATAAAATTTGCACGTGATTTGTCTATACAAAATGATAAGGGAAAAGGTCTAGAACTCTCTATACTGCTCTATCTTTGATGAATCCTTGCCAGATGGTGACAACAGTCTTGATATTAGGATTGATATCTAAGGGACACATCTACTAGCGATAATTTAGTGAAAATTTCACAAAATATTTCAATTAGATCAATGTTTCGATCAGCTGTTTTTCCGATTTTCGGTTGTTGTGAAAATTGACATGTCCTACAAAATTGATTATAATATCCAAAGTATTTAAATTAATTGTTTCAAATAAAGACTAGCTAATTCATAACTGAACAGAAAATGCATGTGTATTCTTAGAATTGGATAGCAGTGTTGTTGAACCAGTAAAAAATAAGGTTAGCGCACAATTTTTTATGTTTAAAATTGTCCTTTGTGTCTAACATCCTTGAATGCTGTGTGATTTTAATAATATTTTTATGTTATACTGACATTTAAGTAGTTTAGATTTATTCTGCACTCATTTATCTTTAATTTGATATATTATAAGTCCCGATACAGCCCATACCTTTTCTTCAGGAAGGTTTTAGCTTTGTCGTGTTGCACTAAAAAAAAATTCCGCTTAAAATTAATGCTGTCCAAACCCCAGAAAAAATGCCGTCCTAAAAGAGTTAACAATTATCCGGCTAAAGATTTTTCTAGTTACCGATAGTAATGTGATACTTCTCCAGTTGTTACAGTTTTACAGTTTCCTGGGGGGGGGGGGTGAAAAGGGGGGGGGGGGGTAATTTAATGTTGGTACCTTTTTTTCCACTTCTATGGGATTTCTTCTTTGTTCCAGATTTCTTGAAAAATCTCACACAATAGTTTTGGCGTTTCAGTTTCCTTCACTTTCAGCATTTCTGGGCATATCCATCACACCCAGGTGCTCTGTTAACTATTTAAGCTTTATTCGCCTCCCTTACCTCTGCCTCTGAAAAAGGTTCTAGGCTTATCTGTAGGTCTTCCTGTGCCTCATGTATATCAGCAAGTACAGGTGGGTCTGGACATGTAAGTAATTCCTGGAAGTGTTCTTTCCACCTTTCTAATTTTTCTTTCTCGGCTGTAATCATTTTCCCACTCCTTGTTTTTTAAGGACAAATTTTGGTGCAATTCCACATTTCCCTTCAGTTTCTTTGTTTTGTTGTAGAGAGTTTTGATGTCCTGCTTATTTGCTGCTTCCTCTGCTTCTGTTACTAGTTTTCCAATATACGAAAGTTTATCTGCTTTTGCTCCTGCTTTAACATCAATTTTCTTTAGTGCAGATTCTTTAGAAAATATTCCTTTTAATCTGGCTGATTTTGTATCTAACATTAGTCTTTTAATTTCTTTTCGTTGTGCCATTTTCTCCCACGTCTATTGCAAAATCCACTCCTATTTCTTCGACAACCTAGATTCTAATATTTTCTTTCCTGCTAATTTGACTGCTTCATTACATTTATCGATTACCATTTCTGTTTCTTCTTGTAAAATGCTGAATCTGTTTATGAGTTCTATCTTGAATTGCTATTTGATATGTATTTCCTGAAATTCTCCTACACCATATTGCTGCGGTTTTTATTCTCCTATTTTAGCTTGCCTTAGTTTTTACCTGATTTTTCCAATAAGTAAATGATGGCAACTCCTTATATCCGCTGATTTACGTACTCTGGCATCTTGCAGGGAATCCCTCCATTTTCCATTTATAAGAATCTGGTCAGTTTGGTGTGCCGTGTGT